TATCATTTATTCTAATGTATAAGCGACGATGATATCATTTATATCATGATATCATTTATATCTTATATCATTTATTCTAATGAATTGGACGTATTTAGGCCAAAAAGAATTATATCTCACGCAAACCTTATGCACATGGTTCCTTTTAGCATTAACACGTCCAATATATTGATAATAAGCCGAAAAAAACATTAAAATAATTTTTAATAGGATAAAATATGGCATCTTTGTTTCTTTTGTGCCTGGGCCAAGATACGTGATAAAACGTTTTGATGTAACGCTTCGATGCAACTTTTCGTACAATATGGATGCCCTTGATGCATTTGCAAATATGAAGGCGCTATTCATTCATCAAAGAGCATCTATCACAATTATACCTGCAACTTAAAGGATGGACTTCTAGAAAACATCGAGTGGTTCATTTCGGGATCCTTGATTTTACTTACCTAACTCTCTCGTATTTTCGGGAAATTTTGGAAAGACGCAAAATGTACACACTGGAAAAAAAGTGACCAATAATTCAATGTGCTTGAACATCGTGAAAATGCAAGAAGCACGCAAATGGCCATCAACCGATATTTCAGAGCGCGTGGATAGAACGGAAAGAAGAAAACTACTTGCATGACTGATAAAATACATTTATTTTTAAATTCTTCGAACGTTCGATGAAAAAATAGGAAATTATTTTCTAGGATACGAAGTGTTTTGGTAGATTCGAGAGGTTTTCAATTTTTTTCTTACGGCTTAGGGGTTACCTTTATTTTTTTAAACGAAAATTTCAAAATTTTCAAAGAGTATTTCGATATAAGAAATCGAAAATTTTCAACAGAATTGCAAATTCTTCCGGGAAACCGCGAGGTAATTGCATAAAGTTGCAAATCACGGCCGCAAAACTTTCGCGCAAAACAGCAGTTGCAAAGTTTTCTCACAAAATTTCGGAGCGTGAACGTTATGTGTGGCGCGTAGGTAACTAAGCTCGTAAAAATGTAGGTGAGGGAAAGTTGTGGCTTTCGTAACTACCCCTGCCTTCCCTAACGTGATTCGCGATACCGCACTGTCTGCACTGCTATGTCATGCTGAATAATTTGCTGTGTGAATTTGTCGAACTACGTCTTACCTGCCGAAAATATTGCTCATAAACCGCACAATTGGGTGCACCATTTATTTGATTAAATTTAGGGGCTTTTTAATCAAATTTGACGATATTTGGAACTGAATCCGGGTGTATTTTGGAATTTTTGAAAAAATCGGGATTCTTCTCAGAACTTTGGCAAACCGGAATATGTTTCCGGAAATCGGAATTATTTCGGAATCTTTTGATAAAATAAAATGGCAGCACTGCGTTTGGTAAAATCTAAAATCCCGCTAAAAGGGGATCACGCCCACTTTTACATTGTCTCTTATGCAGCTTTCTGAAACACATCCCATTTTTCTCATTCGTTTGTATAGTTCCGTTTAGCAGAAATACGTCCATATTTGATTTAATAGTTTATTCTGAGCGGAAAGAAATTTTTTTCCTTCAGGTCCTCACACCTTTCTCCTCATCCTGAACTTATACTAAGCTCGGCGAGTAAAGGAAAAAACGAGCAGAAAACCCGAAGGAGGAAAAAATATGTCGCGACGTCGTCTGAATTAATTGACAGAATGGACCCATTTTTCTGAGTCCTTCATTACCGCCAGCGCCGTTTCTGCATAATTATCCTCGACGGAAGCTATAATTAGAGCGCGTTTATTGCATCACTCCCTCCCTCCGTCAAACAAGAGATATTGGGGAGAGGGAGGCAAAGTTACGGGGAGAAAATAGCGATGCCATAACTTCCCACTTCACAATGTTTAGCCCGGGACCCGGCATAAAAACAGTTATGGTTTCCATAAAAAATAATCGCTTGCGGTTTCTTCTCCGGCAGCTCATAAACGTTTATCGAGAGTTCGGAAAGTTCTTGCTTGCACGTAGTTAATACTCCCGCGGACTGGGGTAAGCTTATTTTTTAATCCCGGGTAAGTTTGTGTTTGTCATCTCTGGAGGGCTATACCCGCGACGGAGCCCAGTCGCCAGGGACGTTTTTTCAATTATAATTTCGGATGGGAGCCGGCCCGATCAAAGACAATTATTTTGCACTCTTCGAGGGAAGCTTTTCATTAAAGTTTCAAATTGCGCTTTCGCTCGAGCGAAGGATATCCAACTTATGCTCTCGAGTTGATTTTAACCTGGGAACAATATTTTCCTCTCGGATCCTGTGTTGATGCAGATAAAATTGCAATATCTTCCCTTTTGAATCCATTTCCGCCATTATCATAAATAAGATAATTTTTCCGTGGTTTCATCCTGCTAAATCATCGGATAATTTCACTGCTGCGCTTTAAGTTGTTTATCGATGCATCGATGGCTACCAAAGAATACCGCCTATCAGCAAACTGACGGTTTTGCAGAACCCATAAAAACTGGCCATTTTTATAATTTTAAGGTTAGATTTGCAATTTATTCATGTATTACAGCGTCATCTAAGGGCTCTTCTGCAGAATTAGAAAAAAATCATCAGCTTGCGTATTTTCTACTGTAAAATCACTAACTCATTTTTGCCAAAATTTTCAGTTAGGCGGTGTTCGTTAGCCCGCCTCGATAAACCTATTTCTAAAGAATAAAGGATACAATGTATAAATGGACGTTTTTTCAATTATAATTTCGGATGGGAGCCGGCCCGATCAAAGACAATTATTTTGCACTCTTCGAGGGAAGCTTTTCATTAAAGTTTCAAATTGCGCTTTCGCTCGAGCGAAGGATATCCAACTTATGCTCTCGAGTTGATTTTAACCTGGGAACAATATTTTCCTCTCGGATCCTGTGTTGATGCAGATAAAATTGCAATATCTTCCCTTTTGAATCCATTTCCGCCATTATCATAAATAAGATAATTTTTCCGTGGTTTCATCCTGCTAAATCATCGGATAATTTCACTGCTGCGCTTTAAGTTGTTTATCGATGCATCGATGGCTACCAAAGAATACCGCCTATCAGCAAACTGACGGTTTTGCAGAACCCATAAAAACTGGCCATTTTTATAATTTTAAGGTTAGATTTGCAATTTATTCATGTATTACAGCGTCATCTAAGGGCTCTTCTGCAGAATTAGAAAAAAATCATCAGCTTGCGTATTTTCTACTGTAAAATCACTAACTCATTTTTGCCAAAATTTTCAGTTAGGCGGTGTTCGTTAGCCCGCCTCGATAAACCTATTTCTAAAGAATAAAGGATACAATGTATAAATGGACGTTTTTTCAATTATAATTTCGGATGGGAGCCGGCCCGATCAAAGACAATTATTTTGCACTCTTCGAGGGAAGCTTTTCATTAAAGTTTCAAATTGCGCTTTCGCTCGAGCGAAGGATATCCAACTTATGCTCTCGAGTTGATTTTAACCTGGGAACAATATTTTCCTCTCGGATCCTGTGTTGATGCAGATAAAATTGCAATATCTTCCCTTTTGAATCCATTTCCGCCATTATCATAAATAAGATAATTTTTCCGTGGTTTCATCCTGCTAAATCATCGGATAATTTCACTGCTGCGCTTTAAGTTGTTTATCGATGCATCGATGGCTACCAAAGAATACCGCCTATCAGCAAACTGACGGTTTTGCAGAACCCATAAAAACTGGCCATTTTTATAATTTTAAGGTTAGATTTGCAATTTATTCATGTATTACAGCGTCATCTAAGGGCTCTTCTGCAGAATTAGAAAAAAATCATCAGCTTGCGTATTTTCTACTGTAAAATCACTAACTCATTTTTGCCAAAATTTTCAGTTAGGCGGTGTTCGTTAGCCCGCCTCGATAAACCTATTTCTAAAGAATAAAGGATACAATGTATAAATGGACGTTTTTTCAATTATAATTTCGGATGGGAGCCGGCCCGATCAAAGACAATTATTTTGCACTCTTCGAGGGAAGCTTTTCATTAAAGTTTCAAATTGCGCTTTCGCTCGAGCGAAGGATATCCAACTTATGCTCTCGAGTTGATTTTAACCTGGGAACAATATTTTCCTCTCGGATCCTGTGTTGATGCAGATAAAATTGCAATATCTTCCCTTTTGAATCCATTTCCGCCATTATCATAAATAAGATAATTTTTCCGTGGTTTCATCCTGCTAAATCATCGGATAATTTCACTGCTGCGCTTTAAGTTGTTTATCGATGCANAATTGATGCAAATAACAAAGACGTGAAAATAGTAGGTATGTGTCCAACATTTTAGTTATTCGGCACGCTTTTCCAACATATTCATGTTGGATTTTTCTGCTTGTTTTTTTTTAAATCCGCCAACGGTCGTTTCTGATAAGAGGAATGCGAAATTAATAATTTCGTCACCTCTGATGCACAGTTCACGCACTAAAAATGTAGATATTGGTTGTTTAGATATAATATGATAGGACCTCACTCAACAGTCCTAATTTCGTAAAGCCAAGCCACCCTTCCTCATTTTGACCTTGTACCCGCTTTTTCCGTATGCTTTTTGTCACTGGGTACTCGCACATCTCTGTTATTATCGGTATTATTGGTCTATTCGTAAAATGCTTCTCGCCAAAATTCCGAATTTTAGATCTTCCTCTCTCTCGAAACGCAGGTCTAAGCAAACGATGCCCAAATTTCTTAAAAACCTGGGCCCACTATACTATGCGATTTTCATTCTTACCTTCTCCTCCAAACACCTTGAGCTCGACCAGATTCTGTTAAAATATAAAAATATGCTCTGACAATGATTCCCGGAAACCATTCCCATTACAGATTTTTAAAAATGGCTGAGGGAGGTTTCACTGAAACAAACTGCTGCCAGATCTGTCTCGTTCTCCGACCGCAGAGCTGTCAACTTCCGCTGAAGTTGTGAGAGCTGTCTCGCCGCTCCGCCCGGTAGAATAAAGGCGAGACAGTCGGAAACGACACTTGTACCATGACTGACATCTCTCTGAATCTCATAAAAACACACGAGAAAGTGCGGCTACGTACCTAGGATTCCTAGACGATAGTTGACAGCGACAAATATGACGTGACTGTAGCTGGCTAGAGCACTTCCATCGTAGGGGTTCCCTGAGCCCCAAGAATAGGACTCGCCGTGGAAAAACACGATGACTGCGTACGGAGCTTCCATACCCCGACTCCCTGGAACAGAAGAAGAGGATAACGTCAGACAATGGAGAATTTTCAGATGTCTGAAATTTGATGAATTCCGTGTTTGGATGGACGCTACCGAGTGAGCTGAACAAAAGAATACCATTGGTTCCGAAATTGAGCAATTATTGGAAAGGATATGACGAAATGATCTAATCTGCTAAAATACATACGTTTAAACGGGAAATGCCGCCAGATGACGTCATTAGGCGGCGCATTTTCTCACGTTTAAATCTATTTTCATAGTATTTCCCATCGCCGAAAAAAAATTATAAAAAATACTACAAAATCAGCTCTTTAGGCACTTTCAGATGAAGCAATAAAAAAGTTGCGTGCAAATTCTCCATTGGACGTATTTCTGCCAAACGGAGCTATGTGCATTATGAAGTGAGCCGTGTTGTGCATACATTCTTATGGGTCTCAGGGCTCATGTCTCAATGCACATGGTTCTGTTTGGCAGAAATACGTCCAATTGGTCGTGGCGCTTTGACGTTTAACAGAGTAATCATACGAGAAATGTTCGTAGGATGAGTCATCAGACTACCCAAATCGAAATTTTGATACCTAGAGGATAATTCATTGAGTCAAAATAGGATTTGCTTGCACGAATAAAATTTTTTTCCTGTGAAAGAGCCCTTTCAATGAAGGATAATCTTTAAAACTTTGCAGCAAAAAGTTCGAGTTTTTCAGACTGTAGCAACGATTATCAGCCAAATAACCCTCGTGGCTTGTTGGATAGTTTGGCGAACAAAAACCTTGATAAAGTTCCAAATTATCAATAATATGAAATATTAGAACGTGAATCCAAACCTGCGATAAATAAATTCAGTTGTATTAAACCAGTTTTCTGCATAACTTTTTATCATACATCAGATTTTACTTCTAACAGTTAATCGCGTGTGACTCTGAGAATCAATAGATGCAGGTGTTTTTAACGTCGAGACGGAGGCAATGGTTTCTTATTGAAAACTGCAGTCTATGTGGGGCCGTTCAACTATAAAATAAGACATTTTGATCATCTTTTTCAACTTCCCGTCCCTGTTAAGTACCCGTCCGACAACCTCTCGCCTCTTTCCCCTTTCGAATTACGTACGAATGGCCTGATCTCCTTCCCCAATTTTTCAGTATGTACGAGAAAATATTTAAGGAATTGTTGAAGAAAAATATTTTTAAAGGATTTAATTTTAAAGTGGGAACAAGTAACAAGCGTAACACCTAAACGTTCCTTTCGGGCATTTAGTTTACCTTTTTATGTTGGTGCTCTTCATCATAAAAGAACCTGACATGGTGGTTCCTTGATGTAAAACGTAGCCTATTCGTTACATTAATGTAATTTAACCAAAAAAAAATAAAAAATAAATACAATTCCAACACTATAGGTTTGGCGTCAATCGTCAGCTTATTTTAAATCGCTAATGCTCTTTGCACACGTTGCAAGTTTTAAGTTAAAAGTGCGATGATGGTTTCTGCAACACATTTCACGATCATCGATGAGTGATCCTCCACCCACCCCCACTTTCAGTAAAACACTTGCAATGTGTGCAAAGGGCACATCTTCTGTTGAATTAGATGACTCCCACAATCCATCTAACCCACTCCGAGCACCTGTTTTAGTACTCTCGGCTGCAAAACGGCCCAAACACAGAAGCGCTGGCTCAGAAGTTCGTCGCGAGGAACGCTTTCATTAAAGTCAAAATTGGTGGCGGAGGTCTCAACGGCGATATACCCTCATCCGACGCCCATCAACTAACGCACTGCATCAAAGGCCCGTGACGTGGAAGCGACCGCAAGGACATCACTCCATCGCCATCGGCCGAAACCAAAGTTCCCAGCTGGTGGATATTTTACAAGGGATCAAGTTGGGAAAAAGTGCCCATTTTCTGCACTATCTGGCATATATGGTCGGGGCTCGAAATTAGGCCGGTTTACTTTGGCTCGCGCTCCCTCCGGCCCCCCCCCCTCCTCCCCCTGGCGTCAAAATTCCCCGACCCAAGCCGCGGCCGCAGAAGTAGATTTGGCTGTAATTCAATTAGCTTTCGGCGTGAGCGCCGGGCGATATATGTGACCCGCGACATTCCAACACCTTTTCGCTCGTTTGTCCCCCCCTGGAGTTGCCCCTCTGCCCGTCTGTCCCGCCGCCGGGAAGCTGACGCTACCGTTGAGTTCATGGTGGCACCGACGCGACAGAACGGCAACGGCCTCACGTCTCCTGATGGCTAGACAAATTTCCGCGGCACCCGCCATATCGATCAATGACAATGCAAGAAAAATCGGGAGAAGAACACCAAGGAGTTGCCGGAATGTGCAAGGGGATAGGACTGGGTTTAAGTGCGTCGAAAAGTTCTGAGAGTCATATTTCGTCGTTTCTCGGAAGAAGGACCGTAATTCCATTCCAGAGTTGCAAAGATTACTCAAGCAATTGAATTTTTTACAAGAATTAACCTGCACAATTTTTGTTAAAATTGTTTCCAATTATTTCACGACATCAGAAGAAAGGTCAATATCTTTTAGGTCAATATTTCAGGTAAAAATCTGGCAACATGGAAATGTGGTTACGTTCTTTCGGGGGGGGAGGGAGGGGGATGATCTGTATTTGTATAACCAAACACGAGAAATACCTTTTCTTCCGGGAAAAACTTTTTCTCAACTTTTTGCAAAGACGTCCAAGAAGAAAAACTGGAAATTTTGGAATAAGTTCTACCCTTCCAGCTCAAAAATTGAAATAGATATTAGTCGAATTCAAAAAGTCTTATTTTGTAGAAAAATATGGGTTAGATTCTCGAAAACAATTATGGAAAATTTACTCCCGAAAGATAAGTTCCTTTTCCACAGATTCGGTCAAATTTATGGAGTCGTTCCCAGAGCAGCGCATTTTCTTAGGAAGGCCCCGTAAGGTTTGCAGATCTATTAAGGATACATTCAATACAGCATCATAAAAATGACAATTTTTACAAATCTCTGGTAAAAGTCAAGTAAATTACGTTAAAAATAGATCCTTGCCGATGAATAAATTGATTTGTCACAGCAGAAAATCTGAAATGAGAATAAAAAATTAAAATTTTTTGATATTTAGACTTATTTTTGCTTGCCAAGAACAACGTAAGAAAATAGCATGCTGTAAGAGAGTTTGTCGGAAATGATTGATTTTTTAAGAGCCAGAGTGAAATGCATAACAGCATAACACCAGTGAAAGGTGAAGACGTTGGCCACGTTGGGTTACGTTGGGTTCAGCAACTAAACTAACTCAGTCGCAATGCGTGGAGTATCGCGCCTCAGTTGAAGGCGCACTGAGTGTCTTCCATTTGTTTGAAGTAGAAATCTCTCAAGAAGTCAGCGAATCCGGGGCTCCTGTTCGACCAATTTTTTTGAAACTCGATGACAGAGTATATTTTATGCTGGGAAACTCGAATTTTCAGCCAAATTTTCGAAAATACGAAATTCAAGATGGTGGACGTGGCCTCAAGAGTTACATTGACTTTTCCAAAAGTATACAAATATGTCCTTGCAATCAAGATATATATCCATTTTCTGTTGATGTTCAAAATCGATGTACCCTCAGTTGATACAGACCTTGATATGGGCCCACTCTTCAACACTGATGTGTTTAAACGGCTTGTTATCACGTCAAAAATATACTTTCTCGACTTGGATTTTTGAGGGGAGTAAATGTGCGTCCAGATGAATAGAAAACTGCCCCAGACTCATTTTTTCCTCAAATGCAATTTGATGCATATCTGTTGAACTCGATCCGATTTGGCAGACCGTCCAACGTCGCAGAAACCAGGGTTGCCACAGAACATGGAAAATGAAATTCCCTGAAATTTCCCTGATTTCCCTGACACATTTTAGTGAAACTCCCTGGAAATTGCAGATACGGCAAATGGGAAGACATAACTGAAGATAGTTTTCAGGCAAAATTTGTAGTTCGAAACCTCAAACCCATTTTAGAGCGCAAATCAAGGAGATTTAACAACTTTTCTCTGACATTTTCGACATGTTCATCATTGTCCCTGACATTTCCCGGTTTTCCCTGACTCTTTAAAATTCCCTGGCATTTCCCGATTTTCCCGGTATTCCCTGACTGTGACAACCCTGAGAAACTACGGAGAGGGCGAAGAGGGCGGGGGTGCAGGTTAGTAAAATGACTTCCGGAAGGGGTAGACCTCAAACCCATTTTAGGGCACAAATCAAGGAGATTTGACAAATTTTCCCTGACGTTTTCGACATTTTCGTCATTTTCCCTGTTTTTTTTTAAAAATTCCCTGACATTTAGCGGTTTTCCCTGACTGTGGCAACCCTGAGAAACTGCGGAGAGGGCGAAGAGGGCGGGGTGCGGGTTAGTAAAATGACTTTCGGAAGGGGTAGACCGCGAGGCGCCCCTTCCCGATTTCCTTTGGAAGGCGATAGGATATCACGGGGCGCTAAGTCAATACCGGAAATAGCTGATTAAACAAGGTGGGCTTGGTCCTGGTTGACGGCTTTGATTGTCGTTCAACAATCACCCAGCCGCACTCCGGGCGACGGAATCATTATCCCGCTGGAAGCGGGACGATGACGTTCCAACGACGGAACCTCAACCGATTCCGCTTCCTTTTGTTCCCCTGCCGAGACGCGATCGAGCGCTCGGTGGCATCTTCGTTTCTTCGCCGTCTTGTCCTGGCATGCTTTGTCTTCGATAATGCTTTCATAGGGAGAGAATCATCGTGTGCGTACTTCTAAGGAGGGATATCTCAAGAGAAAACAGGAGCCATGATTTTAATTACGGATCAAGTGGCATTCCTTAAACGGAAAAAAATAAGTTCCGTTGCAAGGACTGAACTTTCAATCGTATTGAGGACAAACATTTTCGGTTATTAAAATTGAAATTGTTTTATTTATACAGGAGCCTTGTTGAGGCTTGGTGCACGTCATAAGGTAAAATTTCTAAAGCAGCAGCTCGTGACAATGGTGATATGGGAGAAAAAACGGGAAACAAGGCTTAAAATTACAGA